GAGAGTTTTTAGAGGTCTGTTAGTTAAAACTATCATGCGAGATGATAATAGGAGAGCCTCCAAACTTCTAACACAGAACTCTCTTTCCTGAGCTTCTCAAGGAGTTGCTGGCATGTGTCAAACTGCCAAGCTTCTGGCTCAAATGTGCCATCTCAACTCTGAGTTTTGGTCATTCACTTTCTCCACTCTCCTTTTCCTCTCCACTCCCCTCTTTTCTTCTCTTCTCCCTCTCCTCCTTTCTTTCCTTTCTTTTTCTTGGCCTTCGGTTCCCATTAGTCTGTTATACAAGGGACTACCCTTCTCTCTATTCACTTCTGCCCCTTCCTTTTCCTGTACACAATTTCCTATACTCTCATTTGTCTCCCTTCTCCCTTTTCCCTTCTAAGAATCACAGAATCCTGGGCCTGGAAGGGACATCTAGGCTGGCCTTCCCCATATTTACCTGGGTGACTATAAATACCCCAGGTGGATGACTATCCTAGTTTTAAATGGTATTCTACAGAATCTGAGAGCTGTGAGCACCGTTTCTGGGTGTCTTGTTTTACCCTACTTGGCTTCTACTTCTGGAAATTAAGCTTAAGCTTTAAGAACAGAGAATTACTATTCCTTGGAAGCTTAACAGGGAAAGTCTCGAGAGGGACAAACACACAGAAATCAAAATAATATCTTTTCATCCCTCCATTTTATAAGATAAATTTTTCTTTGAGAAAATCATTATGATGTCCTCTAAAATGCACCCACAAATGAAACCTTCACTGTTTTAACAATGGACAAAAATTAACTTATATTATTTTTACTAATTCTTGAAAAAGTGAATATCCTGGCTCTAATTTTGAGAAAACTAGGACTACTCTGAAAGGCACTAAAGAAAGTATGTGTGTGTATTTATGAATTCAGGGAAAATTTAGTTTTTCTTCTTAACTTTCCATGACTTTGTGAATTGAGCAGACAACTCAAACGTATATAGTGTATATAACCTGTGTTACCTTCAGAGAATAACAATATGCACTCAACTATTTACACTTTTCAAAAACCAGCATATGAGAAAGAAATCTAATTTCAACACTATAAAAGCCTTGCTGGCTACAGGGAAGCCCAGCTAAACAAAAGAGCCTTCAAATGCACTGAATGCTGCCAGAGACCAACTTTGCTCATTTTTGTTCCAAGTAGGCTGAGTGACGATTCCTTCTTCTCTATGACTGTATATCACTGGGTTAGTGATTTTGTAAAGAGGGTTTGACAACAATATAGAGTGTTCTGCCTGCTAAATAAAAAGTGACAACTCCATTTGAAAGTTGTCCCTAGATGTATTTTATATGCATAAATTATCTGTGACAGTCTCGATCAAAATAGAGTTCCATTTCACATAGAATGTAAATGTACAATGCAATAGGTTACTTTGAATGTTATCATTTTGTCCAATTAATGGTTTAGGTATTTTCTAATGAGTTTCTCATATGTTACTATTTTTAAACTTAGAAAATAAAAATAGTCTTTTTATTGATAATGTCTGTAAGCCAATGCCTTTTAAAGTTAAAAAAAAAAATACACATGTATGTAGAAAAAGAGACAAGGATATATCACTATGAAAGGCTAACTTTGATTACTTAAATGCATGTGTCTATCTATGCATTTATAGATATATCTGAGAAACTTTACCCTGAGACTTTTCGTGTCACTACTAATATTTGGATCCCACTCTGACAACAAGTATCAACATGGATCCACCTACAAAGACAAAACTACAAACAACACTTCCAGTCCCTGAATTAAAGGGTATGAGCAAGGACACAACTTGCAATTTGTCAAATGTCAGGCTACAAGGATCAATACTCCTTCTGATATCTGATACGCATCATTCTGGGGCTTGAAAAATCATGACAGACTTTGTTTTAAAGAATATGTCCATGCCCACCTGCCTATCATAGGCCAGGGCTCCAAGAAAGCTACTTAAGGGTCTCCTTATGATTCTTTTATAAACTTCATACAAATTTTTATCCTATTACTATAGACTCCATCATTACTTTTTCTGACTTGTCCCACAAAGAATCCTATAATCTCTTAGAAGCAGGAGTCACGTCTGTTTGAAACCTCATTAGCTTTCTAGGTCATCTAGTAGATGTCATCCCAGATGGTCTAAGAAAAGGGGAAGGTGGAGAAATACTGCCAGTGACATGCCTGCATTCCTATATTTAATAGTGCTTTCCCCTCCTTTAATGGAGCCCTGGTGGCACAGTGGTTAAGCACTCAGCTGCTAAATGAAAGGTCATCAGTTCGAACCCACCAGCTACTCTTCGGGAGAAAGATGTGGCAGTCTGCTTCCGTAAAGATTTATAGCCTTGGAAACCCTATGGGGGCAGTTCTACTCTGTCTTACAGTATTGCCATGAGTTGGAATCGACTTGACAGCAATGGGTTTTATGGATTTCCCTTCCTTTAAAGGTTTTGATATTACTGAGTGAAAGAGATTCGCTTTAATCTTTTTTTGAGGAACAATTTTGCAAAAGCAAATAAAAGACCATAATGACATAATTACAAATTTTGCTATTAAACCGGAGTAAGGGAAAAATCACAACCAAAGGGCATATATGTTATTCTATTGCCAAAAGTTTTTTACAAATCTCATAACCCAATGTCTCATTATGCAAGAATAGGACCACCTGGATGGACAAAAGATGGCTGATGTGAGAGGTTAGGAAGATTCAGAATACTTGTTCTAATTCCTTAAGTCTTGGGTGAGGGTTAAATGTTCCTACAGGGGTGAGCTGAGAGAGTTTAAGAGTAGATCAGTGGGCACTATGGTTAACAAAGAAGGTAGTAAAAGAGGTATGAAGATAGTTGGAAAAGCAAAACTCAAAAGGAGGTAAGGGTGCTTGTGAAGCATAAGATAATGACATTAAAAAATATTGTTTATTTAATTGTTAATGCTACTTTAAAGAAGAACAAGAAAGGGTAGGCTACTGCTGGGAGGAGATGCTTTGACATGATAGCAGCACCACAGAAAAGTCAGAGCAACCTGAACTCCTATTTTGCTTCCATTAAAGAAGGGCAGAAACATACAACTTTGGAGCTGGAAAGAAATGCCGAGATCACTTAGCCCCACCCTCCCCTCTTTATAAATGAGGAAAGATGCACAAAGACACTGAATGACTCACCCTACATCTCCATCAAGAAGGGCCAAAGAGAGGCAGGAAAGAAAAGGACAGTGGGAGGGAGAGAGAAAATATGTGATCCAGAATGCTTTAAAAGCATTCCAGTGCTGGTACTTACAAATTACTTGCCAGGGTACTGAAAGAACTAGAAGATGTGTCCCTGGAAGCAAACACAGTTATCATTGAGAAACTACAGACAATGGGGGCTGTGTCAAGATACTGGAGGCGAGTAAATAATAGTGAAAATTTTACAAATGGGCCAAAACAAGTTATAAAAACACTAGGGGATAAACTCGATGTTGATTTCAAGCAAAATTCTTTGGACTATATAGTCAAGATGACTAGAGATCATCACCAGGGGTCCGTAATAAATATTAGGGTGGGAAAGAGATTTTAAAAAGTACAACTGCCAAAAAGCTTTTTCTGCTGGTGTAGTGGCAGCCAGGCTGGGCTGACTGTAGTTTCTGTACAGGAAACTCTATCTTGTGCCCTTAGGACACTTTTGAGGCAGAGAAGACTAGATGGAGGAAACACTGACCTGTTATGCACTAGGAAAGTCCTTCATCTAGAAGTACTTGGCTAGGAGGTACTTCCTGACAGAATAGGAACAGGACAAATTCCCCCAATGGTGAGAATGGAGGATCAGGAGAAACCAGTGGGATCGCTGAAATCTAAGAATCAGAGCAGATCAGAGGGAGGAGGTAACAAAAGGGATGTCTGTGCTGACCAAAAGATCAAACAAATCATATGGCTTGGGAGGTCTGCCAGTCTAAGGGTGTCATCTTGAAGTCATACAGCTAAGAGTGGAGCCACTTGGATTCAATCATTCATTCAATACATATTTATTGAGCACCCAGTGCTTCAGGAATTATGCTGGGAATGGAAATAAAGTATAGTGCCTGCTTCAAGATCTCACAGAGGAAACAAACAAGTAAAAGTCAGTTCTAGTACACCAGGATCCTTACTGTGGGAGGGGTCTGCTTGGGGAGCTCTGAGATGGCTGCTGACCAGTGGGATATCTGTGCTGAGTCCTGAATAACACATAGGGCTTAACCCAGAAAAAGCCAGGCACACGGAGAAATGGCACCATGGCCAGTTAGAGCAATAGTCTTGGGGTCATACAGCTAAGGTTGGGGTCTTTGGACAATTGGGAACGTGGGATAGCTGTAGCCAGAAGAGAGTCAAGTAGAAAGTTCTATTTTGCAATGCATTTGTAAAGGGCAATGCAAATTGGGAGCACAGGACAATATTCTCTAGTGTCACTGTAGAACCCCAACTGAGCCTAGTCCAGATCAGGGCAGCATGGCAAAAGGAAAACATAATGGATCAAAAGAGGTGTTTAACGAATTTTTGGATCTGACAATGAGAAGGACCTGATGCTCAGTGGGGGCAATGCAGTGCACAGACATGAGAACCATCGTTACCCATCCCCTTAGATCTTCCTAGGAAAGAGTGTGGGTGTATGGCCAACGGAGGTGGAAGCCTCAAGAAGGACCCTCAGATTTCTGACTTGAGTAACTTGGTGGATAATGGTGTTCTATACTGAGCTGTCCTGGGCACAAAAGAGCAGCAACAGTAGTCAAGAAAGGCTTGTAATTAAAAACTGGAGATAATGGAGGAAGGACCAAGTCTGTGGTTACACAAACTACTAGAGATATGACATCTTGAGAGGATGATCAGTTTACTGAGGATAAGAGTATAGCCCAAGGAAAGAGAAGGTTCTGGTCTAAGACATTGCCCTTCCCTATCCCTAGCCAGAGGCATACCTGTTAGTAAGGAAGGAAGAATCTGTAGTTAAATGAAAATCACATTGGTATTAAATTACTATTGTAATTAGTTACACATGTACCTGAGTTAGTTGCTGACACACCTTTATATAGAGGAACTATGTTGTTGTTAGGTGCTGTCGAGTCAGTTCTGACTCATAGCAACCCTATGTACAACAGAATGAAACACTGCCCAGTCCTGGGCCATCCTCAAAATCGTTATGCTTGAGCTCATTGTTGCAGCCACCATGTCAATCCATCTTGTTGAGGGTCTTCCTCTTTTTTGCTGACTCTCTACTTTAACAAGTATGATGTCCTTCTTCAGGGACTGGTCCTTCCTGATAACGTGTCCAAAGTACGTGAGACTAAGTCTCACTATCCTCGCTTCTAACGAGCATTCTGGCTGTACTTCTTCCAAGACAGATTTGTTTGTTCTTCTGGCAGTCCATGATATATTCAATATTCTTCGCCAACACCATAATTCAAAAGCATGAATTCTTCTTCGGTCTTCTTTATTCATTGTCCAGCTTTCACATGCATATGAGGCAATTGAAAACCTTATGAATAGAGGAACTATACAAACTCCACATCTGAAGTCGAGACTCCTCCATTCTTCTGTCTAAGGTAGAAGCCTTTTAAATCTGAGCTAGGTCACTGGTTTTGTCTTCCTTCCCGGCAACACAAGGGCAGATCTGGGATGAAATTGGACCTGGTTGTTGTCTAGTTCAAACCATTTTGAGGTTACATCACTGCACAATAGCTGTCATCTAAGTTAGGGAACATCTCCCCAGAGATGGAAAAGGTAAGGCGGATGGATTTATCTGTTGCCAGCAAATGGGCTATTTATATGTCTTTCTCTCGCCCTAACCTGTAAAATCTGTGAGGCAAGGGGCCCTTGTGCTTATCTAGTGGTAGTTTGGGGTTTAACATAGCAAAAGTTTTCTGCCACAGGAGCTATCCTAAAATCAGAGGAGCTTCCCACTACCTGGGACTCTGTTGCTGTTAGTTGCCATCAAGTCGATTCTGACTCATGGCGATCCCATGTGTGCAGTGTAGAACTGCTCCACAGGGTTTACAAGGCTGTAATCATTTATGGAAGCAGATTGCCAGCCTGACTTCTGGGGTGCCTCTGGGTAGGTTAGAACTGCCAACCTTTCCGCTAGTAATCAAGCGCTTCACTGTTGGTGCCACTCAGGACTCTGTGGTTAATGTGTGCCATCGAGTTGATTCTGACTCATAGCGAACCTACAGGACAGAGTAGAACTGCCTCATAGGGTTTCCAAGGCTGTAATCTTTATAGAAGCAGATGACCACATCTTTCTCCCATGGAACGGCTGGTAGGTTCAAACAGCTGACCTTTTGGTTAGCAGCTGAGTGCCGAGGACTATAATGTCTGGAAAGCTTCAAGCTGAGGCATCAGCCATAATCAGGAGTATGTTTGAAGGGATTCCAGTGCTGTCCAATATGGTAGCCACTAGCCGCATGTGGCTATTGAACACTTGAAATGTGGGTAGTCCAAACGGAGATGTGCTGTAGCTGTAAAATACACACCAGATTTTGAAGATGTGAAGTACGAAGAAAAGAATGTAAAATAGCTCATTAGTATTTGTTTTGAATACATACTAAAATAATATTTTATATATATTGGGTTACATAAAATATCTTATAAAATTAATTTACTTTTTAAAATGAGACTACTAAAAATTTTAAATTACATATTTGGTTCACATTGTATTTCTATTGGACAGTATAGTGATTCTGTTCTAGAATTTGAATGTTTCTCATACAGAGAAGAAAGTCTCTTTAATTGAGAACATCTTCCCATTAATTGTAATTCAGTGGTACTTCACATCATTAATAAATAAGCTAGAGCTCTTCATCTTCAAACCCAAGTTCCACAGAAAAACCCTGTTTTCTCTGTTTTTCCCTAAGTTACAAATTATTCTTATGGCATCAACTTGTTTTCTTCAACAAAAGAAACAAATAAAATGTTGGCAAACAAAAATACGAAAAAAAAAAGACCAGATTTACTGGCCTAAAGGAGACTGGAGAAACCCTGAGAGTATGGCCCCCAAACACCCTTTTAGCTCAGTGGTGAAGTCACTTCCGAGGTTCACCGTTCAGCCAGGGAGTGGACAGCCCCATAAAACCAAATGGGACTAATGAGGCACAGCAGTCCACGGACAAGGGCTAGAAGGCAGAAGGGGATGGGAAAGCTGGTGATAGGGAACCCAAGGTTGAGTAAGGATAGCGTTGATGTGTTGTGAGGTTGTTAACCATTGTCATAGGGCAACATGTGTACTAATGGTTTAATGAGAAACTATTTTGTTCTGTAAGC